GAGCCCCCGCGGCTGCCCCCGGAGCCTCCAAGGGGCCGGCCGAGCCCCGGAGCTGCCCCAGAGCCTCAAGCGGGGCCGGGCCGTGCCCTCGGAGATCCCCCGGAGCCTCCAGCGCTGCCGAGGCGACCCCCCGGGGCTGCCCCCGGAGCCTGCAACGGGGCCGAGCCGAGCCTTCGCGGATCCCCCGGAGCCTCCAGCGCTGCAGAGCCGAGCAGAGCCCCCACGGCTGCCCCCGGAGTCTCCAGCAGGGCCAGCCGAGCCCTCGGGGCTGCCCCGGTGTTGCTGGCCCCGCTGCTCCGGGCAGGGGCTGCCGGGGAGCTCCTGCCTGCCCGGGGGGAGCGCCTGGGAGAAGCTGCCCGGGAAGGGGCCGAGTTCGGGCCCCGGGCTCGTTCCACTCGTTGCTGTGGGAGCCCGCAGCCCTGCCCTGCCCGCCGGGGCTTGGTGCCAGCACCCAGCGCTCCCACAGCGACCCTGCAGCCACCGCGGGCACCGGCACCCGCAGGCCCCAGCGCAGCACGGCCAGCGCTGGGCCCTCCAGGCCTCACCCGAGTGGGGCACAGGGGCTGAGGCCGCTGAGGGCAGGGCAAGGATCCCCTCGCTTGGCTTTTGTCTCTTGAACAATCCGGGCACAAAGCTGGTGGGGAAGCAAAGGCTGGAGCCTTTGGGGGCTCCCAGCCTTTAACATCTGGAAAAGCTGCTCCCCAGATCCTGGCTCCAGCAGCTCCCAGGGATGTCATGGCCTTCAGAGCGTGAACGTGGATTTTGTATCCCTGTGGCCTGATGCTGGCTCGGCCCAGAACTCCCTGTGGCCAAATGTTTCCTGCCTGCTTTGGTGGCATCGCTGCAGGGGCCGCTGCCGTCAGAGCCCCCTCTCTGCTGGTGACAGCTTTGCTCTTGGGGACATGGCTCTGCAGCAGCCCAGGAACATGAGCAGTGCCCGGTTGCAAGAGTGGCATCAGTGGGACCCCCAGCCCCAGGTGTCCATGCCAGCAGCCCCAGGGACCTCCAGCCCCAGGAACCCAGAGAAAGTGGAAACTCTGTAAATGCTGCTTGTGCCCAAAGAAAATGCAAAGAGAACTGTGACAAACAAGGACAATGTATTTACAGAAGAGGAGTAAAACCAACAAACTTATTTACATGATAAGAATCATTGTAACAACAACAATCTATAGAACATATTTACAGAGGAGTCTAAGAAAAAACAATCTTCAAAATGTATTTACATAAGACCCAATGAAATAACAACTTGTGAAATATATTTAGAGAAGGTTCAATGAAATAACAATATTCATAACATGTTTACAGGAAACCATCAAAGAAGAGCCTATAAAACATATGTACAAAATGAAGATTTCCACAGCCAGCATCTCTGTCAGTTCTGGAAGAGAGGGAAGCAGCACAGGACCATTCCAGCCTGGCCCTGAGGGCTGTTCCCTGTGCCCCCAGGCTGGCACATGCTGGCACAGTGGCACTCTGCTGCCAGCACTGAGCCCAGCTGGGCTGGAGCCGGGCCCCAGGCGCTGGGATGGGGCTGGTGTGGCCCAGAGCAAGCACAGGACAGGCTGGGGTGGTGTTTGTGCCCCCACAATCCAGAGCCCCCTGGGCACCATGTCACTGTGCCACCCAGCCCAGCTCCAGCCTGGCAGCAGGAGACCCACCCTGCCTGTGGGCAGGGCATGGCCAGCACCGGCCTGTCCTGTCCTGGGGCTCCATCTTCATCCCAGGATCATGGGCTGCTCCTCATCTTCCTCATCGACCTCCATGTCCTCCATTTCTTCCTCCATCAAGCTCCAGCTCCTCAACAAACTCTTCCACATCCACCTCCATCAGGGGCAGGGCATGGCCAGCACCTGCCTGTCCTGCTGTGGGGCTCCATCTTCATCCCAAGATCATGGGCTCTTCCTCATCTTCCTCATCTTCCTCATCAACCTCCATGTCCTCCATTTCTTCCTCCATATCAACCTCCATCTCCTCAACAAACTCTTCAACATCCACCTCCATCATTTCTTCATAGATCCACTTCCATCTCCTCCTCTCCTCCTGTCAGGCTGCAGCAGGAAGCCAAACCTCACAGTGGGGTCTCTGTTCCACACCAGCACCACTTTGCTCCAGCCTGCCCAGGCAGTCAGGGGTGCCCCCCTCCCTGGAATGGCACTGCACCTTCACTGGGACAGCAGTGCACATCCTGCAGGGAAAATCCAGACAGCAGGAACAGCTCACAACTGATGGACATATCGGGGAGCAGGTGACAAGTGACCACTGGCAGCAGGTGAAGGGTGTGCTGTGCTCGTTTCCAGCTCCTGGCTTGCAGTGCCATTCTGGGAGCTGTGGTATCACCAGAATTCCAGGGCTGCTCTGCACTGGTGGAAAAGGATTGTAAAATGATCAAATCCTTGAATGATTACACTTGGAAGGACCCTAAAGATCATCCCATCCCAACCTGAGCAACCTCCCAGCAGCCCAGGTGGCTCAGGGCCCATGGAACCTGGCCTTGAATGTTCCCAGGGATGGGGCATCCACAGCCTCTCTGCACAGCCTGTGCCAGGGCCCAACACCCTCACAGTGAACAATTTCCTCCCAGCATCACATCTAAACCTACTCTCTTTCAGTTTGATCCCATTCCCCTTGTCCTGTCACCACAGTTCCTGACAGAGTCCCCCCACACTTCCCTGTGGCTCCTTCACACTCTGGGAAGGTGCTGGGAGGTTTCTACACAACCTTCTCTTCTCCAGCCTCAACAGTTACAGCTCTCTCAGCCTTTCCCCATGGGGAAGTTCCCCTCAGGAACTTTGTGGCCTCCTCTGGAGCTTCAACAGCTTCTTCTGTCCTGCTGGAGCCCCAGAGCTGCAGGCAGCCCCACAGGCACAGAGAGAGGAGCAGAGAGGGCAGGGTCCCCTCGCTGCCCAGTGTGGGGTGAGCCTGGCACACTGGGGGTCTGGCTGCCAGGGCACAGGGCTGGCCCCTGTTGGGATGCAGATGTGAGGCTGGTGTCCAGCTCTTGCTGCCTTGGCTGCACATGAGCATCACACCCCATCTCCTCACCAGCCATCCACAGCTTCAGATGTTCCTAGCATAGGTGACAAACCAACTCCAGCCCTGCAGTTTTGATTGGAGCCTCACAGTTCTGTCCTAAATGAGCTGTGAAAATGCTCAAGTCATTCTGTTAGCTCAGTGGATGCACAAATGTTTGCCTTGCAATGACAACAAATCTTGTTTCTTTTTACACTGTTGTGTTGGAGGTACCAACACAAGGTTGTCCCATTTCATTACACTTTTTCAGAGGACAGACAAACTTAGGACTGACAGTTCCTTTGCACATTGAAGTAAAAAAGTAGAAAGGACCTGTTGGGGTTTGATTTACTTACATCTAACTTTTGCTTGTTCCTAATAAAAAAATAACCCTCTTGATTTCCCACACTGTCATTTCAAGCCCTTTTGTTGGGAATTGAATGTCCTGTAAGTACATGAAAGGGTTCTGAGACCTGCTCTTTGCCAGGCATCCCCAGGTGAAGAGGCCCAAAGAGCCCCAGCCTTGGCTCTGTGTGACATGAAGGCAGAGAGCACAAACCCAGGGTCACAGGGCCAAAAAAACCTCAGCTTGCACTGAGGGTATCCAGAACAGTGCTGAGAACGTGGGAGCACCTCCCTGCAGGGCACATGGCCGGGACATGCCCTGGGGACACGGGGAGCACGGCACAGCTCCATGGGCACTACAGGGGCCATCAGCCCTGGGGCTGCACCGCGAACCCTCGGCCAGCCCTTCTCAGAGGCACCTGCGTGAGGAACAGGGCAAGAAACGGAAAACAGAACGATATTCCAAATTCCTTTCCCTTCCTCAGGCGGGTCCGCAGTTGCTCTGTCCTGCCCCGCCTGCCCAGGGTGAATTCAGCTGCCGTGAGGGCAGCAATGGCGGTGAAGGTGTTCGCACGGAATTACAGGATCGCTAATGTTGGAAAGGGACTCTAAAAACACTGCGCCCACCCTTCCACGGCTCTGGGCTCCCAGCAGCTCTGGCCCCGAGCAGCCGCCGCACGCAGCGGTCGGATTTGACGAGCTGCAGCCTCAGCAGCCTCGTCGCCCTCATGATGTCGCGACATGGCGTCACACCGCAGTGACTCGGCCCGGCGCGTGCGCGCTGCGCGCTTCCGACGCGGCTCCTCCTCCTCCCGCCCCCGCTGCGCGGCATCACGCCCGAGGGGCTCTTTCCCCGCTCTGATTGGTTCATTGAGCTGCCAATCTTTTGAGGGGCGGAGCTAGGGGCGCGGCCCATCCAATCGCGGGGCGGTCCGCAGCGCCCGCACCGAGTGGCCGGAGTGGGTCCGGGTCCGGGCTGCGGAACCGGGGGCGCCGGCACGGACCGGGGTTCGGTGAGGGGCTGGGAGGAACAGCGTGGGTCAGGAGACAGCGATGTGCTGGGGGCTGGGGCTCTGGGAGCGGGAACCAGGAAGGGGCCGGGGGTTGCCGGCCAGGGTCGGGGCGCGCTGACAGTCTAGGGGCAAGGGGCCGGCGAGGGGACAGGGAGCGGGGGTGAGAGCACAGGGAGCGGGGACAGCCGGGGGCTGGGATCAGGGCACAGGGTCTGGGGACGGCCGGGGGCACCGGGGCTGGGGGGCCGGGCACAGGGGGCGGGGCTCAGTGCACAGGGACTGAGGATAGCCAGGGCACAGGGCCGGGGACAGCCAGGGGCCGGGCTCAGGGCACAGGGCCTGGGGACAGAGAGCGGGGTTCCGGGCACAGGGGCTGGAGACAGCCTGAGGTTAGGGCACAGGGGCTGGGGATAGCCAAGGCTCAGGGTTACAGGGGTCGGGGCTCAGGGCACAGGGGCCGGGGATAGCCGGGGCTGGGGAGCCGGGCACAGGGGCCGGGGACAGCCGAGGATTGGGGCTCAGGGCACTGGAGCTGGGGGCAGCCGGGGCTCAGGGCACAGGGGCCGGGGACAGCCGGGCCCGGCTCGGGCTGCGGGCCGGGCGGTGACGCCGTGCTGTGCCCGTAGCGCTGCCATGGCCGCGGCCTGGCAGGACGTGGTGCGGGACGCGGCGGCCGTGCGGGAGGCGGCGGCGGTGGCGGTGGACGCGGCGCTGCTGGCGGGGGTGCTGATGCGGACCGGGGAGCAGCCCAACGCCTCGGATGTGAGTGCACAGCGCTGCCGTGCCGGGGTTCCTGAGCCCTTGGCAAGGAGCGGCTCCCCAAGGGACAGCTTTGAGTGTCCTTCACTGGGGTGCAGCTCTCAGCCCATCCCAATGATGAGCACGGCTCCCAAGGGACAGCCCTGCCATACAGATTCCCTTTTCCAAGGAGAAGTATAGGTCTGGGAAGGTTTAGGAGGTTGCCTGTTGTAGTGCTGGGAGTTATTCCCTTTCCCAGCCTCTCACCACCCAGATGAACCTTTGAACCAGAGGAGAGTCTCACAGAGGGGCCTCTTTTGGCATGTTCCCAGCTGCAGTCAGCCTTTGTCCCATAACTAGGGTGAGGTGACAGGGGTGGAGGTGGCTGATGTGTGGGATTTGCCTCTGAGCAATCCCTGGTGGATGGCTGGGCTGGGAGGGCTCAGCCTGTTGGAGCAGAATGCCATGAGGGGTCTCAGAGGAAGAAGTGCCCCTGTGCAGGACGGGTGGGGCACCATTGGGGAAGGGTCCCTGAGGAGCCTGGGGGCACGCAGGCAGCTGGCAGGGGTACAAGGAGGGAGGTATTCACCAAAGCACTGCTACTTGATGTCAGATCAGGGCTCTGAGTGATCTCAAAGGGTGAGGGAGCCTGGGAGGAGAGGCCAAATACACTGCCAGTGTCCCTTGTTTGATGTAAAAATCCAGGTGAATTGGAAACCTCTCTGTGGTATAATATATGGGCTGTGAGTGTGACCCTGTGCACGTAGGATGAGCCAGGGCTCTGGAGCAGGGATCAAAGGAAGTAAGAACCAAACAGCCAGAACCCAGGACTGGCAAATTACCTTTTTCTCTGCCCCTGAGAAGTTCTGGAGGCAGTGCTGTCCAGTTCAAGGGGGAGGCAGTCAGCCCAGTCCCCCTGCGGGTGGTTCATAAAGCAGAACCCTCAGAAGCAGGGCACACACATGGCCTCAACCCTGCTCACTGCTCCTCAGCCTTCAGACAAGCAGAGGAAGCCCCTCCTTAGCCCCTGTTGAGCTGCCCAGACCTGAGTGCTGTGCTGCATCCCTGCCTGCAGGTGGTGAATTATGCCCCCTTCACGCTGCTCCCATCCGCAGTGCCACGGGCCTTGTTTGAACAAGCCTACGCCGTCCAGCAGGATTTTAACCTGCTGGTGGATGCTGTCAGTCAAAACAGAGAATTCCTGGAGCAAACTCTGGCCAGGTAATGTTTTTGCATGTTGCATTTTAATGAAATATTTTAAATGTGTAGCTTTATCACCCTTGTGGCATCTCTGCCTTTCTGAGGTCTTGTTGGGCCCCAGAAAATGGGACATCTGGCCAAGACCTGATTCCCTGCTATCATCTTCAACTTTGCCACTTTTTCAGGCTTGTGAATTCATACTTGTGAGCTTTTGAGCCCCTGAGCCTTAAATGCAAATCACTGGAGTCTTTGAGTCCTGGCTTTAGGAGTCTCTTAGTCTCATTCTGCATCTGCCTGTGTCTGTTCAGTACCCACCAGCTGTGCTGCAGCAGTGATGAAAAGGTGTCTGTTCTGTTTCCACACCCTCCCTCAGTCACCCCCTGCCCTCTTTCCCAGCCACAAGCTGTGGCTGCAGGAGAATTGCCCAGCTCTGGCTCCTGGATGCTGCTGAGTTTATCTGTGGCTGTTTCCCTGGGTTGTAGTGACCATCCCTGACTTTGTCACTTGTGATTGTGGGGCTGATGCTTGCACAAATCCCTCTTCCCTTCCCACTGCCTGTTCTGTGCTGCCTGTGCGTGTTCTGCTGCCTCTGACACTGGGACAGAGCAGAGGTGGCTGTTTTCCAGCATCCTTTTGTTCTGTTAAATCCTCACCCTTTGGAGCTGTTCCAGAGCTGGCTGCAGCCAGAGCCTGTGGGGACATGTTTGTACCTGTGCTTAGAGAATGCAGCACCTGGGGCTTGTGTGTGCTCAGGTGCCTGCCCTGTGCCAGGGCAGCTCCCTGGAGGTGCTGTTCAGGATTTGGGGCCCCGAGGAAAAGCCAGATCTGCTCTAGCAGGACCACAGAGTGTGGGATTTGGAGCCTGACAGGACAGGGGGATTGGATGAGGCTTCTCTGAACTGTGTGTGCAGGCCCAGAGAGACCTGTGGTTTCTGCCTGAACCTGCAGAATTCTGTCCCATCTCTGCCCTGGCAGTGAGTCACCTCTGCACAGGAGGGCCTTTTGTGGAGAAGCTGTGCTTGGCAAGCTGGGTTTGTGTTGTGGTTTTGCACTGAGCATTCTTGGGGAGGTGTTTCACAGTGTTATAGCACTTGGCTGAGCCCCAGTTCAAACCCAAGAGATCCCCAGAGGACATGGTTCTGCTCTTTGTGCTGGAGGATGCCCCTGCTAAGGGCTTTTTCTGCAGAATAATGAATTCTCTTGCTCCTCTGTGACAGCAGCAGGAGGCTGACTTGGTCTGTGTTTCTCTCTAGCACCATCAAGGTCGACGACTTCACAGCTCGGCTCTTCAGAATCTACAAGCAGGTTTTGGAGGAAGGCCTGGCTCAGGTACCTGGGCAGGGGATCCCCGTGGTCTGTGCCCCTTGGCATTGTGGTGGGGGTGCCTGGGCTCTGGCTGCAAGCTTTGGACTCTGAGCTGTGCCAGGCTGGTCACTCCCTGCCCTGCAATGTCTTGTCACAGCTGCTGAGCTCAGGACCTTGCCCTGTTGAGCAGCTGAGCTCTTTGGTTGGTGCTGCTGGAAACAGCCTGGCCTCGAGAGGGAGGAGTTTATGGGGTTTGTCCTCTGGGAGCCTCAGAGTGTGCAGGGACATGTGTCCTGTTGGGACCTGCCCTGGCCAGGCCACCCTGCAGAATCGCCTTTACTCTCAGTGTTGGGAGCTCCTCTGGAGCTCTGAGAGGGCTGTGGGCAGGGGAGCAGAGCACCCAGGTGTGTGACCTGCATGGTTTGTGTCAAACTGAGAGTGGCAGGACAAGAGGGAATGGCTTCAAACTGACATTGAACAGGTTTAGATGAGATATTAGGAAATTTACTGTGCAGGTGGTGAGGTGATGGCACAGGTTGCCCAGAGAAGCTGTGGCTGTCCCATCCCTGAAAATACTCAATTCCAGGTTGGACAGGGCTTGGAGCAGCTTGCTGTAGTGGAAGGGGTCCCTGCCAGCTGCAGGGACTGGGGTGGGGTGGTCTCTAAAGTCCCTTCCAGCCCAACCCATTCTTGGATTCTCTGGATCTGCCCTGGGAGGATTCTGAAGCAAGGTCAGCAAAGGATTTGCAGTTACAGGCCACAGGAGACCCCAGCTGCCCTCCCTGTGTTGCAGACTGTGTTTTTGGGCATCAACCGCTCCGATTACATGTTTGACTGTGGGCTGGAAGGCGCAGCAGCTCTGAGGCAGATAGAAATAAACACCATTGCTGCCAGCTTTGGGGGGCTCACCTCCCGCACTGCTGATGTCCACAGGTAAGGAGCACCTCCCCCTGCATGGCCCCTGTGCTCCCCAGGCTGCTCCTTGCTCCATGGACATGGCATTTACAGCTTTGTGTTCCACAGGTTGGTGTTGAAAGTGCTGGGAAAGAGTGAGGAGGCATCACAGCTGCTGCCCAACAACCCAGCCAAGGGGCTGGCCTTGGGAATTGCCAAAGCTTGGGAGCTCTATGGGTCCCAAAGGTAAGGAGCAGAGCAGGGAGCCTGAATCAAGAGATGGAAAGCTGTCCTGCTCAGGTGGGGTGATCTCAAAGGGTGAGAAGAAGAGGGAGCCTGGGAGGAGATGCCAAACACACTGCCAGTGTCCCTTGTTTCATGTAACAATCCAGGAGAGCTGGTGATCCAGCTAGGAGCATGTGGAGTGTTTATGGGTTTAATGATGTCCTTGGTATCTCTTCCAGGGCTGTGGTGATGTTTCTGGTGGAGGACGTCCAGAGGAATATTTTTGATCAGCGTTGTGTAGAAAATGAGCTTTGGAACAGGTAAAGTTTGAATTTTCCTGGGATGGGAAAGGAGGGAGGAGATGGTTCAGCTTCTGATATAGAAAGCTGAGCAAACAGCTGGCAGATCTTAGGAAGTGTAGGATGGGTTCCTAAACAGGGAGTTTTATGGAACAGGTAAAGGTGGAATTTTCCTGGGAGGGGAAAGGAAGGAGGTTATGGTTCAGTTTCTGGTATAGACAGCTGAGCAAACAGCTGGCAGATCATAGGAAATGTAGGATGGGTTCCTAAACAGGGAGTTTTTGGGATTTGTAGGATTTCTCTGGCTCCGTAGCACAAAGCCTGAGGCTCTCTGTGAAGGAACCCATGAGTTCCACCCCTGACCTGCAGCTCAGGTGGCCAGCTTGGTGACTGTGGCACTGCTCCTGCAGGAACATCCGCGTGCTGAGGAAGCGGTTCCGGGACGTGTTTGAGCAGGGCTCCCTGGATGCCAGCAGGAGGCTGTATATGTGAGTATGAGCCAAGGTGCGCACTCCTGCCAGCTCCTGGGCACGTGGGGCTGCCAGGGGGAGCCTGCAGCCAAAGCTGGGTGGAGGAAATGGCTGAAGAAACAGTTTTCTTCCATGCTCCAGGCTGCTGCTTCCTCCTGGAGCTGAGATGGCTTTGTGTTCATGGTGGTGAGATTTTGCAGATACACATCAGTGCCTTACAGTTGCAGTCATAACCTCCCTCCTTCAGCCTTCATTGCTCTGGGGGATCTTTACCTCCTCCACAAAGGTCTGCTCTGAGCAGCCCTGGCTGTTTGAGAGCTCCCACAGAGCCATTTCCTGTTCACTGTTCACGTGCTGCTCTGCCACGGGGAGCTGGGCTGGGTTGGTAGTGCAGGAGGAGGAAGCATTTCATGTCCTTTGGGGATCTCTGGGATTGAAGTCTCTGTGTCTTGCCTGTCCCTGTGGAGACCAGGATGGGAGGATCACAGACTCTCAGCTGGTCCCGAGTGTGACGTTTGTCCTATTTCCAGGTAATGTGCTGGGAGCTATAGAACCCAAGGGAAGGGACTCCTATGAGCTGGACTGTGAACCTAAGGGAACATGTAGTTTCATGACAATGATTTTTCTGTAGTGAGATTTTTTGACCTTTGGGGTCTGTGCTGTGTTTAATTAATGAATGTACTGTCATGGCTGGTAGTTGAGGGGAAAGCGTATCCCTTGTTATTCCTCCTGAGCATCCCCCCTGTCACTGCTGGATGTCTCCTGTCTGCCTGAAGCAGCTCCCAGAGCAAGTGCACAGTTTTGATGTCAAAGCTTGGGCATGTGGTGCCACAGCTGTGCTGCCAGCCCAGCCCTGGCAGGCTGGTTTGGTGCCTCTCAGGTTGTTGAGTTGATGTCTTACCTTGAATTGCCACAGAAGAACTTTGTTCCTTCCAGCTTCAAGAATCACAGAGCTGTTAAGGCTGGAAAAGACTCCCGAGATCAAGTCCAGCCTGTAACCCAGCACCACTGAACACATCCCCAAGTGCCACAGCCTCATGTCTTCAGGTTCCTCCACTGCCCTGAGCCACCTGTCCTAGTGCTTGAGCACCTTTTCAGTGAAGAGATTTCCCCTAATCTCCAGTCTAAACCTCCCATGGTGCAACTTGAGGACATTTCCTCTTATCCTGTCCCTGTTCCCTGGGAGCAGAACCCAACCTCCCCTGGCTGTCCCCTCCTGTCAGGAGTTGTTCAGAGCCACAAGGTCCCCCCTGAGCCTCCTTTTCTCCAGCCTGAGTCCCTCAGGCCAACATGGGGTTAAAAGATGTTAAAAATGAGGTGCTTACCTCTCTGCAGAGCTGGGTGTCAGAATTATTGAGCCTTTGGTTAGAGCAGAGGCTGAGTGTCAGCTCCCTGTGCCTTGGGACAGGCTGAGCTGTGGTTCAGTGGAGAGGAGCCAGGGCTTGCTGTGGCAGAGCCAGGCAGGAGCAGGAAGGCCAGAGGAGAAGGGGCAGGGGGCTGTGATCCCCGCTTGGTGCTGGGACCTGGCTCTGTGAGCACTTCTGCTTTCCATTGCAGGGACGGCCAGGAGGTCGCAGTGGTGTATTACAGGGAGGGCTACGTGCCCCAGGTCTACGATGAGCAGGTCAGTACCCACCCCCCTGCCCCAGAAACCACAGCTGGGCACTGCCCAGGCAGCTCCAAATAACCCCAGGGGCAGCTACCCTGTCTGGGGTGGGGTCAGTCCTGCCTGGTGGGGCTGAGAGCATTGGGAGGCTCCAGAGAGCAGGTGGGTGACCCTGCAGTAAGAAAAATGGGTGGCTTTCTTCTCCAGGGCGTCATCCCTTAGTGCAGCACTGAATTGTTTCTGTACAACAGGGGGTAACAGGTATGTGTACAGGTATGTTCTGTACAACAGGGGGTAACAGGTATGTGTACAGGTATGTTCTGTGTACAATAGGGGTTAACAGGTATGTGTACAGGTATGTTCTGTACAATAGGGGTAACAGGTATGTGTACAGGTATGTTCTGTACAACAGGGGGTAACAGGTATGTGTACAGGTATGTTCTGTACAATAGGGGTAACAGGTATGTGTACAGGTATGTTCTGTACAACAGGGGGTAACAGGTATGTGTACAGGTATGTTCTGTGTACAATAGGGGTTAACAGGTATGTGTACAGGTATGTTCTGTACAATAGGGGTAACAGGTATGTGTACAGGTATGTTCTGTACAACACGGGGTAACAGGTATAACTTACTTAAAGGTTTCAGACTTGGTCTACAGATCACTCTGTGCTCTCCTAGCACGATCAGGCTGCAGGTAATAATAGCACAGAGCAGATCTTGCTGTTGTCTCGAGGTGGCAGCACTGGACCAGCTGGGGAAGGTGCACACTGTGGATTAATTTAACTGTGCCACCCAGAGGTGGCGGGGAATTCGTGCCTGCTTTTCTCTGGAGTGCTACTCCCACCCCCTGTCCCTGCCAGCAGGCGGGGAGGAGACAAACCATATGTTGAGAACTGCACAGAAAAGAGCAGAGCAAACCTTTTGTGTGTTGTTTTCCCTCTTGGCACGGCTGCTCCTGCTCTGCCTCAGAACTGGGAGGCGCGGCTGCTGCTGGAGCGCTCGCGGGTGGTGAAGTGCCCCGACATTGCCACGCAGCTGGCGGGCACCAAGAAGGTGCAGCAGGAGCTCAGCAGGCAGGGGACACTGGAGAAGCTGCTGCCAGGCCACCCCGAGGCCATTGCTCGGATCAGAGCCACCTTTGCAGGACTCTACTCCCTGGATGAGGTGAGTGGCAGCGGGGCTGGAGCAGGGAGGGACACGCACTGCTGTGCTCTTAGCAAAGCCCTCTCTTCTTCTCAAGCAGGGGGCCTTGGGGAATTTGTTGGTGCCTCTGCTCAGAGGGATCTGCTGAGGAGCCCCTGCTGCTCCCTGATGCTTTGCTGTTCACAGAATCATTTAGGTTGGAAAAGCCCTCCAAGATCAGAGTCCAACCTTTGACCAAGCACCACATTATCAACTAGACCATGGCACTGAGTGTCACATTCCATCATTCCTTGAACACCTCTGTCACAGGCATATTTTATGAAAAATCCTTTTGCTAGGATTTTTTCTCCTGACAAGCTGAGAGGCCTCAGAAACTAAATGTAAACAGTGATTATCTGCTGCTGTGGAATGCAACAGGTGCATCTGTGATTGGCCCATGTTGGTTGTTTCTAATTCATGGCCAATCACAGCCCTGCTGGCTCAGACTCTCTGAGAGTCATGAGCTTTTGTTGTCGTTCCTTTCTATTCCTTTCAAGCCTTCTGATGATAAAATCCTTTCTTCTATTCTTTTATCATAGCTTTAATATAGCATTTTTCTTTTAATATAATATATATCATATATATCTCTTTTAATATAATATATATCATATATATATTATATTAAAAGAAAATGATATATTATGAAAATAATAAATCAGCCTTCTGAAACATGGAGTCAAGATTCTCATCTCTTACCTCATCCTGGGATCCCTGTGAACACCACCACACACCTCCAGGGGTGGTGACTCCATCCAGCTCATTCCCATGTGAAATCACCCTGTCCATGAAGAAATAATTCCTGGTGTTCACCTGTTTCCATCTTTTCCTGCCAGGGTGAAGAAGGTGACAGAATGGCTGCCACAGCCATCGCTGACCCCGACCGCTTCGTGCTGAAGCCTCAGCGTGAAGGTGGAGGTAAGAGCTGGGCTCTGGAGTTGTGAGCTGGGCTCTGGGGGTGTGAGCTGGGCTCTGGAGTTGTGAGCTGGGCTCTGGGGGTGTGAGCTGGGCTCTGGGGGTGTGAGCTGGGCTCTGGGGGTGTGAGCTGGGCTCTGGAGGTGTGAGCTGGGCTCTGGGGGTGTGAGCTGGGCTCTGGAGGTGTGAGCTGGGCTCTGGAGGTGTGAGCTGGGCTCTGGGGGTGTGAGCTGGGCTCTGGAGGTGTGAGCTGGGCTCTGGGGGTGTGAGCTGGGCTCTGGAGGTGTGAGCTGGGCTCTGGAGGTGTGAGCTGGGCTCTGGGGGTTTCCATTGTGGTTTGTGCTGTGTTTGGGACAGGCAGGAGCTCTGTGCCAGCTCCTGGTCTTGTGCTGAGGGATAAATGGTGGCTTGTGGCTACTCATAGCCATGGGGGCTAGTCCTGCCACTAAGGCAGTTTTGCTCCTGGAGGAGCTGCCAAGGCCCTGGTGCTGGGTATGGGGAGCCCAGGCAGCACCTGGGGAGACAAAGGCTGGGTTATTTGGGCTGCCAGGCCCACAGAGCTGGGACCAGGGCATTCTGCTGTTCTGGAAGGGTTTGATGTGCTGCTTTTGTTTGCCAGGGAACAACCTCTATGGTGAAGAGCTCAGGGAGGTTCTGGAGAAGGTCAAAGACAGCCCTGAGAGAACTTCCTACATCTTGATGGATAAGATCAAACCCCAGCCAGCACTGAATTACCTGCTGAGGGCTCACAGTCCCCTCCAAGTGTCTGAGTGCATCTCTGAGCTCGGGATCTTTGGTGTCTATGTCAGGTGAGCAGTGTGCTCGTGTTCCAGGGCAGTTCCCTGCTCCTGATGTGGAGCAGGAGCATTTTGCCCTCTGTGCAGCCCAAGCACAGCCACAGCACAGATGTCTGGGGACATGCAGGTGCAGGGGACAGGTGTGACCACTCACTCTGTGCCCCTGGAGCAGCTCTGAGCACATGTGCTCATGCTGAGCTGCTGCTCTGAACCTGCTGCCACACGAGCTGTTGGGAAACCACAGGGCTGGTGCTGCAGTCACTGGTGTAATGGGATCCTGGGGTCCATGTGTCCCATCCCTGATTTCTGGGAGCATTTCTTGGGTTCTGAATGAAGCCCCATGTGTGGCTTTTCTGAAGCCCTAGTAGTCTCTGAAATACCTAATGGCCTAATGCCTGTTCAACTCTAATAAGAGCTGGTTTTGTAACCCTCATAGGCGACATTTCATAGGGTATAAATGAAAGTCCTTTTCACACAGTCTTGGGAACAAAGGTGCTCTGGCAGCATTCAGCCCTTGGCAGTGCCCATTTGCAGAGGGGCCAGTGCAGCCACCACTGCAGGGCTCCCATGTTAGCCCTGGAGCTCTGCAGAGCCTCAGTGCTGTGCAGGGTCTCAGTGCTCTGCAGGGGCTCAATGCTGTGCTCTGCAGTGTCAGTGTCCCTCTCTGTGCTCACTGTCCCTCTCTCTGTGCTCAGTGTCCGTCTCTGTGCTCAGTGTCCCTCTCTCTGTGCTCAGTGTCCCTGTCTGTGCTCACTGTCCCTCTGTGCTCAGTGTCCCTGTCTCTGTGCTCAGTGTCCCTCTCTGTGCTCAGTGTCTGTGCTCAGTGTCCCTGTCTGTGCTCAGTGTCCCTGTCTCTGTGCTCAGTGTCCCTGTCTGTGCTCACTGTCCCTCTCTGTGCTCACTGTCCCTGTCTCTGTGCTCAGAGCCCCTCTCTGTGCTCAGTGTCCCTCTCTGTGCTCACTGTCCCTGTCTCTCTCTGCAGGCAGGGCAGGGAGCTGCTGCTGAACGAGGCCGCCGGGCACCTGCTGCGCACCAAGGCCATCGAGCACGCGGACGGCGGCGTGGCAGCGGGGGTGGCCGTGCTGGACACGCCGTTCCTGGTGTGAGGAGCCACAGCCCCACCCTCCTGCTCTGCTGCCTCAAGAGCTGATCTGCCCCAGGGGTTCCTCCTTAGGGTGCTTGCCACGGTCTGACTGCTGGAGGCTGTGAGGAGGGACTGTGTGATGGAGTCCTGGGTGCCAGCCCCAGCTGCTTCTGGTGGTTCCCCCTCCAGGAAGGATTCCCTTGCTCTGCCTGCTCAGGGGCCCTGCCCTGGGCACAGCCCAGCTGTGACTCCCAGCACTGCAGGGTTCTGGGGGCAGGGGGATGCAGAGCAAAGGGTCAAAGTGCCACTACTACTTTGTGCTGCTCCCACTTCTGAGCTCCTTATGCTGCATGGTTTCTGGAGACATACACAGCCTAAGGAACGAGAGGAGAAAGGTGGATGGGCAAGGATCAGCCTTTATGTGCCTCAGTGCTCTCCAGCTTAAAGAGGAGAGCCCAGCTCCACTCCCCACGGCCTCTCCAGCCCTCCTTCCCATGCTGCTGCTGTCCTGATTTCTGTTTTCCCCTGTGCCTGAGGATCCTCAGGGTTCCTGCGCCAGGCACAGCTGCCCTGGGTAATTTGCCCAAGGGCCTCTTGCTTTTGCTTTGCCCAACTCCTGTTTTATTGGACTGGGTGCCTCTGTGCCACACAGGGCAGGCAGCAGCGCAGGGTCCAGGGCAGGCTCCCTCTGCCTGCTGCAGCCCTGTCCAACAGATCTTCACAGAATCCCTCAGAGGTGGAGGCAGCTCCCAAGGCAGCAGAGAATTGGAGCCTTGTGTGTGTTGATAAATCCCAAAGCACCCTGGGTTGGGGCCAGTGCATCCCACTGCAAACCAAACCCTGAGCATCTTCCTGCCAGGGAGCCCCAGCCTTGGGAATGCTCCTGCTGAGCCTGGGAGCTCTGTGGTGAGGAAGGAGTTGCAGGGGAGGCTGGGCAGCACAGCCCCCGCTCCCAGCACCTTACTGTGGGACCAGCACCAGCAGAGGGGGAGATGTGGCTCCCTCCAGGTTTTATGGATCAGTGGGAACAGCACAGCAGTGGAGCAGTGTGGGCTCTCCTGCTCAAGGTCTTCTGCCTCTTTCTCCAGCCCCTTCTCCTCCTCAGCCCTAAAAGCTGCACCTTTCTGGCAGCAAAGAGCTCAGGCAGCCTCAGCCCAGCCCTGTCAGTAACACAGAACCAGCACAGAGGCAGAATCCCTGCAGAATGGGATGTGCTGAGTGGCAGAACCAGCACAAAAGCAGAATTCCTGCAGAGAGGATGTGCTGAGTGACAGAAGCAGCACAAAGGCAGAATTCCTGCAGCCTGGGTGTGCTGAGTGCCAGCCCTGCTGGCTCTTTGCTGCTGCAGCATCAATCACCAATTGGTCACCTGGGAAACTGCTCCATTCTCCAAGTGTGACTGAAACTGGGCTTCCTGGGTGTTTTGTTGGGGGATTGATTACCCCAAGCCAGAGATTAAAAGGAATGTGCAATCTGACTGCTGTTTGTGCATTTGTCCAAGCCCAGGGGCACACCTGGCCAGGTGTGCAGAGATCCATGGCTGTGCCTGGAAGGGGAGCAGGCCTGGGGTGGAGGTGAGGCAGCCCTGAGCTGTGCTGACAGCTCTGAACCTCCTCAACGTGGAACCAGTGATGTCTGAGGGGGTTGGTGACGTGTGTGTGTCACACTCTCTTGTGTTTCCCACAAGCCTTGGAGCAGCACTGGCTGGAGAGCAGGGAGAAACTGAGGCACAGGATGGAGCCAGCACTGCCAGCCACAGTAAATCCCAGTCCATGGAAAAACATCACTGGCAGGAACCTGCCCTTCCCCATCCCAAAAGCCAGTCCTGGTTTCTGAGCACTGAGCACCTCCCACCCACACCCACTCCAAGCCTGTTTCCATTTTGTTTTCTTGAATTTTATTCAATTTTGCATTAAATTCTCGCTGTTTTCCAGCCAAAATTACATAGCTAACAAAGAGTAACAGGAGGAACGATGATGTAGGAATCCTTGTCACCAAGGTGGCACAATCCAGTGGTACAGAGCTGTGGGGGCACATGGGGACAGGCAGGCACCGAGGTTACAGGTGACACAGGTGCTGTGCCAGTGAGAGCAGCAGGTAACAAGTGAGGTTTGGGACTTGGCCAACAGCCCAGAGGAGCAGCCCAACACCTGCCCTGAGCACCCTGAGGCAGCTGCTCCTCCTTTCCAGCCCCAAGTCAGCTCAGGTTACAGGTAATCCCAGGCCACTGGCACTCCCCAAACCAGCTGTTGCAGCAAGTTTTAAAGCCCAGTCCTCCTTTGGTTTAAGTGCAAAATCAAAGAGTTCACATGCAGGTTTCACAGAGACATTGCAAAGGAGGTATGAGCCCCAGCTCAGCCCCGGCTGGAGTTAAAGGTCCTTCACTGGAGGAAGGATGGCTTTGGCAGGACCCTGGGGGTGGTCAAGGCTCTTGGGGAAAAGGGTCGTGGGCCTGTAGCTCTCATCATCCTTAAGTCAGGTCAGATTTACACTGACTTGAAACATCTCCCACCATTTTTCCTGGTGAGGAGATGAGTACGACTCCCACAGCCCTGCCTGCCTTGGTTTCTCTGCTGTGGCAGTGCTCATGGTGCCATGGGAAAGGTGCCTCTGCCTGGCTCCATTTCCTCTCCATCCTCCCCCAGGACACAAGAGGAGCATCCAGCTGCTCCAGCTCTGCTTCAGCTCTGAGCTGGTCCAGCAGAACTGGAGAAACTGGGGCTCCATGGAAATGTCACACCAAGGCTTTTCCCTTTCAGTGGTGTCCATGGCCAGTGAAGGACCCTGGGCTGGGGACAATGCACCAGCTGGCACAACACAGTGAGGAGCAGCAGATCTTGGTATCAGATTGCCCCACAAAACCTGTTTAAAGCCCAGAGCTCCCTGGAGCCTTGCCCCAGTGCCCTGGAGGCTGCAGGGAGCTGTGCTAGCAGCAGGCCAGTGGATGCAGGATGAGCCCAGCCCTGCAGTGATGATGTGGCTGCTGCAGTGCTCCTGCAGCTCTCCAAGCACAAAAGGAAGCTCAGCTGCTCTGTGGGCAGTGGTGGATGCCCCTCCCAGGCCTGCCTGCATTGAGTAACTCCAGCATCACTTCCCCTGCAAGCCCCAAAGCTCCTTCCCACTGTGCACAAGGTGCCAGGGCCCCTCCAGACAGAAAGTAAGTTAACACCCTCTCCCCAACCCCCCAAAATTAAATTAAAACCAAGAACGAGGTGCTGAAAAAGGAGGAGGATGAATCCCTCTGTGCACCAGGCTGACCCTCAGATGTGTGACATCCATCTGGAACATGACAGACACCTCACCCAGGGCATGGACACAGCCTCTCCAGAGCCAGACTCTCCTCGTTTCTACCATTGGTACATTTAATTCAACAGGTGAAGGTTTCCTTCCCGGGCAGGCAGTGGCCGTTGGAGGGACCTGCCCATCAGATGCCACTGCCACTGTCCTACTGAGCTGCTCCTGCAGGAACAGTGTCACATCTGCTGTTGAAAAGCTGTGTGATGACGCCCGGGTCTGCCAAGGTGGAGATGTCTCCCAGTTCGTGGTCATCTTTGGCAATCTTCCTCAATATGCGTCTGGTGATCTTTCCTGTAATGACAGCCAAGAAAGGGAAGCAGGAGTCAGAATCCCAGGATGGTCTGGGTTGGAAGAGACCTTAAAGGTATCTCTTCCCAACCCCCTGCCATGGGCAGGAACAGCTTCCACTGTCCCAGGCTGCTCCCAGCCCTGTCCAGCCTGGCCTTGGGCACTGCCAGGGATCCAGGGGCAGCCACAGCTGCTCTGGGCACCCTGTGCCAGGGCCTGCCCACCCTCACAGGGAACAATTCCTTCCATATGTCTATTTAATCTACACCTGCCTTCCACCAGTTTAAAACCATCACCCCTTGTCCTTCATTATCTGTCTAAATAAAAAGTCCCTCTCCCCAGGAGTCAGCATCTCTTCAGCATCCTTAGCAGAAGAGGGAAGTACCAGACCTGCACATCCTGCTCACCCTGAGCTTGTACCTCCCCTAATCTGAGCAGCCCTGGACCAGCAGAGCAGGGCTGCTCAACTTCCACTGGCAGGAACTGTCCAGTCCTGCCCTGGAACTCACCTGAGCGGGTTTTGGGCAGGCTGGGGGCGTACTGGATGTAATCAGGTGTTGCTATGGGCCCAATTTTGTCTCTGACTGCAAAAAAAGGAGAGAGATTCATTGTAGGGCTGAGGAGAAGCCACACATCCTTTCCATGATAAAAGGACAGAAGGGTAAGACATAGAGCCCAGCTCCTGGGACACCTGGCAGGGCAGTGCCTGGGGACAGGAAGACCTGCAATGCCATCAGGGCCAGAAGCACATCTCCCCAACACTGAGAGTACTCATTTTTTCACTCCCTCCATCTTCCAGACTCCTCCCTAACAGCTACAACCAACACAATGACCTTGATAGAGCAAGGATTGATTCAAATTCACTCTTGGGTTCCTCCAGAGAAGAAGCTGCCATGGGTCTGTTTGGTGCGTTCAATGGGGTAGTTTGCAGTCAAACAGCTCCTTGAGAGCAGAGCACAAACACCCAGAGCACCTCCCTAAAGAAGCCCCATGATCCTCTCAGGATGTCCCAGTCTGGCAGGTAGAGCCCTGCTGCAAATAAAAGCCTGTTGAGCAACCCAGCCCCTCACAGGGCTGCCAGCTCCCACGAGGCAGAGATGGCATCACATGAGCTGCCAAAGGCTGGCAGAACTAATTTGAGTCTTTGCCACCCTGCTGTGTAATCAAGAGGCAACTTGTGGCACTTGTCCACACTGCATTCCCCAGACCACAGGCAGCACCAAGTCCTAAACCCCTCCATCACCTGTGCTCCCCCTGCCTGCTCCCCAACATTTGCCTGTTGCTACCTTGTTTTTTGAGCTCATCTGTGAGGTCCTGGCTGAACTCGTAGCCCTCTCTCAGGGTCACAAAGCAGTAGAGGCACTCTCCCTTCAGGGGGTGGGGGTGGCTGACCACGGCAGCCTCGGCCACCGCGGGGTGCTCCACCAGGGCTGACTCCACCTCTGCCGTGCTCAGCAAATGGCCTGCAAACAAGGGGGACACAGAGCTTTACAGGCCTGCAAACAAGGGGGTGACACAGAGCTTTACAGGCCTGCAAACAAGGGGGTGACACAG